AGACGCGTCCTGTCCCACGACGGTACCAACTTGAGACAAGAGGATGGGGAAGCGTCGCCCAATCCAAGGGCTTCACGCTAGAAATTTCAAGGTATTTTTATTCAAAAACGGTGAACAGAGTCGCGGGGGGAAACTGCCGGGTTGATGAGAAAGCACACACCAGTCCGCTATAACACTATTTGACTGGAACACACTTGTATAAGATATACTACTGAGTATAAAGATATGCATGATGCGAGAGAGCACGCAGTACGGTACTATTAATAGGACCGTCGTGAAGCATCCCCATCCCCTATTAGCAGGCCCAATCCACCGAGGATAAATTATGCCCGGATCTGTGCCTAGTCGTGCTCTCCAGTAGGTACATACGGGCGCCGCCGTGCTTCCCGCTGTCCCGATCTCGCATGTAGCATAGTGAAACGTAGATATATCCTGGCATGTGTTCCTTGGGACTTGCGATCGCAACTAGCACACAAATGACTAGCACCTATGAATGCTGCGATGTGGTTGCGGGTGCTGTGCGTTAAAACAACTGGACTCTTGCTGGCGCCAAACCAGATCCAAATTTTGTGGTCGAGGCATCGACGTGGAAGAAAAATCTCTACGACTTGGTTTGCGTCCGCAATTTGGCCACAAGCGTCTGAATTTTTCCGTCCTTGAGCCGCACGAGCTGCTCCAGTTTCTGGATCTTCTGCTCCAGAATCTAGTTTCGAAACGCGTGAGATGGCGTGCGAGAGGAGACGACGATCACCTGGATCGTCTCTTTTTGCTCTTCTATGACGCTGTTCTTTTCTTGCAGTTGCGCTTGGAGCTCGGCCGACGCCCCCTCGGGCTTGAACGCTCTAGATAAAATTGGAGGCATCTACTACCAGATGCTGCCATATCTGGAAAGGGTACCTTGCCAGACCCGCAATGCTCGACGGGTACTCGTCCATCGAGACTGGCGATGCGAGTTGCTTGTCGGATGCAAGGGCTTCGTCGTGGTAGTGGCCTTTTTCTTCGGCGTCGCGGATTTCGGAGCGCTTGCGATCAAGGGGGCTAGGTGCCTCGGGGGGGCCGTCCGTGTCGGGGTCGTACTGGCTGCTGCGCTTCAGCCGATAGTTGGCAATCTAATGCATTCGCTCGCCACACGTGATTTGCTAAAGCGCGACTCGACCTTGATCTGGAGCTTGCTGAGGAACTCTTCCACGGCGCCAGGCTTGCACTGGACAATGTCGTCCATTTCGCGCTTGCTGAGCTGGAACCCGAGCTTCCGGAGAACCTTGGCTAGCATCCATTGTGAGTGCTTCGACAACGATAGAGCCGCGCACTGTTGAGCGTGTTCCAGTTGTACTGTTTCTGGGTCACCGAGTTGGCGGCACTGTAGTTGTGCATTTGAACGAGCCGCGGGAAGTAGTAGGCGATGACCTCGGCCGCCAAGATGCCGTCGCTAAAGTCGCGGCCCATGTTCTTCTTGGGCCGCGAGAGCGGTACCTCGTCGATCCACGCGTAGATCTTCTGCAAGATCGCATCGTCGAGCGGGATCGCGGCCATCGGGCGGCTCTGAAACTGCGGCCGTTGCGAAAAAGGCCGTGGTATCTTTCATCGTCGTCGTCTCGATTCTCGGCTCTCTATCCGTCGACAAGCCATAATGAATGAATGGCGCTCAAGTAGGATTTTACTTTAGTATACCTGTCCTCTACCCATGTACACACCTGCTCTGCTCGTGGCTGCCGTGATTTTTATTCGGTAAGATGTCATGTTGGTTCTTGAAAATCGCGCGCTTCGTCATCTACATAGGTCGAGCGCATTCTCGCGGATATATTATTCTCCTCGATCACGTTGCTGTCCCGTCCTACTGGTACTCGTACTGTAGGCGTTCAAGCGCCCAGAGATGTATCATGCCTCCAAGTCTGTAAAGGCATTTGATTGGATGAAATGTATCGAATTGAATCGCGTTGCCCAATCAAAGTGCAGATGCGACTTGGTCGAAAGGTCGCGTGAAAGATCGAACGACTTTGCGACCGCGCGGCCATGGACGCGTACCATGGCGCCTGCTACAGCGCGCTCCTCTTGCTCCTTCTCGTAGCGCTCATTGAGGCGACGGTCCCGGACGTACTGCTGCACTCGATGTGGAGTGCGACGACGACGGCGACGACGGCGCTCACTACGCCCGGGATCTGGGTCGACGTGCCCGGCGCGAGCATCCCGGCCTTTCTCGCGCTGCCCATGACGCTACTTGTCACGTACTCAGCAACTGTGTACCCGACCTCGGCGCAGCCGCCCGTTGCCATCATCGACAAGACCCGCCCGCCCGGTGCCGACGACCTCATCTCGTTCCGCCTTCTAGTCGACGGGTCGCCGATGCGGGCGTCGGGCGGCCTCGTCGGGCGTACTACCAAGGCGC